CACGCGGGCAGGAAACATTCTCGTTAAATTTCAGCTTCCTAGCTTTTGTAGTCTCCGAGATAATGATTTTCCCACCAAGACTTTCGTGTGGCTGTACGTGTTACCCGTGGACATAACAGTGCTAAATTTGAATTTTCTGAGCTAGAAATGGGTGGGGGAACACTCATAAAATTTTAGCTTCCTAGCTTCCGTGTTTCCCGAGATAATAGTTACCCGCGCCAAAACTTTTGCGGGGCCGCACGTTATCCGCGAGCACAGAGAGGTTGAATTTAAATTTACGGGGTCGCACCTGGGCAGGGAACATTCTACTAAAATTTCAGCCGCCTAGCTTTTGTGGTTCCCGTGTTGAAAGTGCGGGACGAAATGCACTTGGACACAAACACACACAAATACACACACACAAACACACACACATACAGACAACCCTGTGATAATATGAGTTTTGTGTTGCTGCTACAGGAAAAATTTAGCGGATTTACATTTCCAGACCGTATACAGCAAGATGTGGCATTATGAAATTTTTGTTTCTCTGCTCTCATGTATCTGGAATTAAAAAAAAAAAGCGGTCTTGTCAGAATTTTTTTATTGCTATGATTTATGCAAAAACGTATAAAAATCCAGGCTGGAACGCACGAGGCTTGCCGGTGTGACCATGCGTTTTTGCACTAAACTCGCAAATCACTAACAGAGAAATGACCCTGCATTGTAGCCTAATACCTAGGCTCATTTTGGCCACGCTCTAGCTTCTTCCGGCATGCAGGAGAAAGTGCGTCGGTTGGGACAGAAGTGTTGCATTATAGGGCCGCATGGACCTTCAGGTACATGATTACCAGTTTTTTGCATGAAGCCCAGCCTTTTTTTCGGTAAATGCTTACTTTTTGAAAAAATGCAAATTTCCAGTCCACTAAAAAGTGGAAATGTTATTACAGCGGTCGTTCGTCAAAAAATCCAGGTATGCAAACGAGCTGAATGTTCACTTACATATTTGGATGAGGGCGATCGCTCGCTGCAAAACACACTTGCTTCTGATTTTTCAGTAAAGTTGAGTATTTCTTGTAACGACCCGCAGGGAATTTCACTTCCAAGCAGAATTAAGACCGCACTTGAAAGTTGAATATTCCAGCGAATTTTCAGCTTCTCACTCTCTCCGGCAAGCAAAATACCCACTTCGCTACAAATACCTTCTAAGTACCCTAAATCGTGGCGCAATTGCAAATCGACACTCATTTCTGGTACACGATTTCTTATTTGAGCGACAAACTTGCTGATAAAATTTCAGCCACTGTTTTCCGTCAAGTTTCCGAGTTAGCACAGTACCAAGTTGCAAACTTTGCGTGATAGTACGCGCTGCACAAGCGTGTGCGACAGCCGAATTTGAAATCCTTAGTTCGCACACGCAAGAGAATATCCCTGCAAAGTTCCAGCTTTGTACATTGCCTGGTTGGCAAAACCGTTTCCCGCAAAGAAATCCACATATTTTTTCGGGAGGGCGCGTATGAGCGAAAATTTTAAAATGGGAGGATGACACACGGGGTAGGAACATATACCCAAAATTTCAGCCCCCCAGTTTTCCTGGTTGCTGAGATGAAAGTGGGTGACAAAGTTTACTCACTTTCGAATACACATATAGACGACCTCTCGACAGTATGCGATTTTGCTCGCTGTAGCAGCGCTATAGCGCTACTATAGCGCTGCACAGCAAAAACGCATAATAAGATGTCAGTGTTATTTGGCGCAATCTATTCTCTTCAAGCCATTGTAACGAGAAGGTAACTGCCTTTACTGGTAAACAAAAGAGCCAAAAAACCCCTGATAACGAGGGAGCTCTAAAACTGCAAGTTCGAGATAGCTAAAGACGACAAAACCTTACGAAATTAAAAGTACCAACCTACTTTCCTACTAAGCAAAGCAACACACTATTTAACACACCACAACGTTTTGGCCATCACACTGAATTTGTGGTCCATTAGTTGTGGATTTTATTGGGTTCTAGCTCTCCTGAGGCTCCTTTCCAGCACTATTTAAATATGTCAGGGGTTAACAAAAACTAGCACGAAATTGAGCAGACAGTCATCGATGAGAACATTAAAATAAGCGCACCGATATCAGGCATTCACTTAGCGACATGTTCGAATCTTCCCAGAAGACACAGTCGCGCGAAAACACTTATGCGATTTGAAGCTGCATGCTGCCCAGAATCGCAACCGACAGAATTGAGCGGTAAGAATCCGATTTTGCTCGCCGCATTTCTATCTCGGGCTGTCTGCTCTGTGAGGGGATGAGCGCATAATCCCACAGCGCTGCTAGCAAGAAGCAGGAAGGCAGCGTAGCCAAGAATCAAAAAATTTACTACCTTTGTTTCAAAGAATGCTACAGTGTTGCGGATTAATTCCACTGTTGAGACTACAGCAACTGGAATTACTGCTTCATTGCGACAAGGAAGCCACAGCTGCGCAGCCAGCCTTTCCCTACGCAATTCAGCCCTATTCTTCCATCACTGCTAACTCTATCGATTCAGCTAGTTGTTAATGTAAACGATATTGTAGACGACGCTTTATTGTCACAAAAGCCATTACGTCTAAGGGATGAAGTTAAGAAGAAATCCGTCCACGAATGGATTGAAGGGGTAGGCCTGGCTGGGCAAAAGTTTCAGAGTAGGAAGCGGGGTGGACGGTTCATGTGGTGAAGTGGTTACTTAAGAAAGGGGTGATGGTTCATCTGCAGGGCGGCAGTAACTGAGTGATGGAGAGTTACCGCTGAAGATTTTTATGAATTAGTGAATTGCGCCAGGCTGGTTCAGCGAACTGGGGATGGGATGGAGAAGATCCTGGACTAACGGGAGGTTCCTGGGGAAGAAGAAGACGTGATTGGCTAGCATTCTTCTCACTTTCCGCCAGAGCTGATCTGCGCTATGCGAGAACTATAATGCCACTGAATACTAAATATACTGCTGAAAGACTCGCTCTTTTTAAAATTTAGCTATAACTAGTCTGTCCTCTGTTATTGTGGCTGCCTCCAGCCAGTGCGTGTCCGGAAACGAATGCCTTCCTCGCGAACACAATGCTGTACGACATGCCAGAGTGTGCGATATGTGTATGATGATAATTAGGTACATCTTGAGGACAATTATCAGCAGAGAGGGCAGTGCACGCTTCTCGTCTGTTTTCAATAGCGATGCATTTCCAAACATCCGTTGCGTCATTCATTCGACCGACGCATCAGCTCTCCCATCCGAACAAGAGTGCTCAGCGCATTGAAATGGGAATCGAAGTACGAGGGATGCGCACTGGCAAAGAGCGCCGTCTTTTCTGCCCGTGCCTGGCGAGCTTCAAATAGTAGCCAGTGCGTATTGGCGGGGATGAATTCATTCCGTGGCGTGCTCTATGCGGTGTACTTCAACCAAAAGCAGTTCCTCTGCGATTTGCCGACCTGTAGAAATCAGAAGCTAATCCGGAGTGTGCTACGAATCCCGGCTTTTAATGTCTGTCTAGTTTACAAATCGCTCAGGCCGAAAGTCCAATGCATTGGGTACGCCGAATGCGTTTTATACCGTTCGTTCGGGCAAAATGTGATACACGATAATTTTGGCTTATCAAAATCTGCTGGAATATGAGCGCCACAATACATTAACACCCCCGAGTTGTTGCCTCTCCTGCACCGTGATGAGGTGCCAACGCGGTTCTGCGGAACGTGCACTAAAGCGGAATTCACAAGCAGCTTTCAGGGTGATATGCAGCTCAATCCTAATCGAAACAGGAGAAAAGCGCCGGGGCACCGGACGAAAGTGTCAACAGCACATCGTGATTGCTTATGAAAATCCAATTTTGCAACTTTCCGGCTCCTCGATGACCAAGGTGATTGGTCCCCCATCCAGGCAACAACATCAGCAACAAGCAGCAGCAGCAGTAGCAGTAGCAGTAGCAGTAGCAGTAGCAGTAGCAGTAGCAGTAGCAGTAGC